AATTCTGATTGGGGTGAGATGATATCTCATAGTTGTTTTGACCAGCTGGACTCTTAACTGAGACTTTGACATCAATCAGTCCTCAACATTTTTTTAAAAAAATTTTTTAATTGTGATTTTAACAAAAGTTTACAGAAAACACATTGGTAATCCTGTTGGATGGAGATGCCCAAGTGACCTTAAAAGCCTCATGATGACAACAGAGGGGTCTCTTTTAACCCAGGGTTCTGAACAGGTAAGGGAACACCTGTAGGGTACACCTCTCCTCAGTGTTCAAACACTTTGGCCCATCAACTAAGAGAAATACATTTCTTATGTATTTACGTCATTGTACACTTTGGAATCTTCTATTACAGTAATTAGCTCACACATGGATTAACCTACTTTACGGACTATAATCAATAATAAAAAGACAAGCAACTCAGGTTTTGTAAGGATAAAAGATGTAAACAGACCCTTCAAAAGAACATCTCTGAAGGGTCAATGAATCTGTGAAAAGGAGCTCAGTCAGTGTCCCTGGGCATTAGCACGATGCAAACTAAAGCCTTGGTAGGATGCCACTCCATTCTTACTATAACTGGCAACAGCAAAAGCTGGTGGTGTGGGGCGGGGAGAGACTCTCGTACACTGCTGATGGAAGTGTAAAACAGCACAATTCACTTTAGAAAAAGACATAAAACTCATTTCCTATATGATCCAACAATTCCATTCCTAGGGACTTCCTAAGAGTCAGGAGGGCCTCTTTTCACAAAGAAGACTCAGCTAAGAACTTTCAGGGCAGCTGCAATCACTGGTGTCCAGAAACAGGATAAACAAGTAGTGAGTCATTTGTGCAAAAGTCTTTTAACTCATCAATGGCAAGTATGGATACATACACTATGAACAAATCTTTCTTTTTATTCATTCAAAACCAGAATTTATTCTTCCTAAATCACACAAAATTTACAAATATTCACACATCTCAAAAGCGCACACTTCACTGTTGGCAGGACCCAATCACCGCTGCCCCTCCAGCAGGTTTTGAGGAGCTGCAAATTGCACGGGGGGTGGGGGAGACTGTACATCTATCTCCCACAGAGCTTCAAACTCCAGATCTGAGCTGCCTGCTCCTTAACCACTAGATCACCAGAGCTCCCTAAATACTCACATATAGGTTGAATATGTATTTAAAAGCCATATTTTTTATTTTTACTTATGTGGAGTGATTGATATTTTTTTAACAATTTACTTTTTTTATTGTGATTTGAGTAAAAGTTTACAAAGCAAATTGGTTTTCTATTCAACTATCCAGACACATTTTCTTGTATAGCATTAACTAATACTCACAGCATAGCTGTATTTTTCTTAACTCCTCCCTATAATTTCTCCATTCCACTAATCCTTCTATCTTACCCTTTCCTACTTAACAGGAATGAATCTTAAAAACATTTTTCACTGAGTAAAAGAAGTTTTACATTAAAAAGCACATAAATCAATGGTTTGTTGGGTTTTTTTAAAATTTTTATTTTATTATTTTTATGTGTACCATCAAATCAGATCTGACTGGTACAGGAGGAGATTGTCCCCTCCTTCTCCAGCAGAGCATCTGGTGGATTTGAACCACATACCTCTGGGATTGCAGTGCAGCGTCTTGCCACTAGGCCACCAGAGCTCCCTTAAATCAATGGTTTTAAAACAATAGTTTCTTGGGGTAAAGTTGCTGGTACCAAGGGGGATGGTTGAAAAACACCTGAGAGAACTTTTCCAGGGTGATAACATTGCCCTATATCTAGACAAGGGTTTGAGATTCACAGTATAGGTTTATGTTGATCAGAACTCAGAATAATAACCAAACTGCATTAACAAGTATGTGACAAACTGTAAAAAAAATGCAACTAATGTCAATAAATGTCATGGGTAGAAAGTGTCAAATAGAAGCCTAAATGTTGTGAAATCCTTCACTGAAAATACAATAAAATACTATTTCGTTGGGGGGGGAGATTTCTGGAATGGTAAACATAAAATCTGTGTATTTCATCATGTTGTTGTGTACCATCAAGTTAGTACTGACCCATGGCTGACCCTCCTGCAGGTCTTCAGAGCCAGTTAATCGCACAGGAGGAAACTGCCTAGCCTCCTCCCGTGGTGCAGATGGTAGTCTCAAACTGTGTGCCTCTGGGAGTGCAGCACAGCTTCTTGCCACTAAGCCACCAGCGCTCCCTCCTTCCTCTCTAGCAGGCATTAATTGTATTGTGCACTCCCAAAACATGTTTAAGTCCTAAGCAATAGACCTGTAAATATGAGTCAATTTGAGGGTGCCTAAAAAGAACAACTTAAATGAATAGGAAAAACTCACTGTATTGTCCATATTTTTGTCAATTCACCATGTAGCCACTACATCAGTGTAAACTAAAATTTAACAACCACTGAGTATGGGAAAGGGAGCTCTGTGGGCACAGTCCATAGGGAGCTGTACTAGTAACCCAAAGGTGGTCCCTGAGGCAGTTAGAATCCACCACTGATTCCTCAGGGGGAAGTTGGTTAATTTTGTCCCAGAAGATTTACAACATGCAAAAAACCACTGGAGAGTCAGCTATGAGTTGTTTCTGACTTGATAGAAATGAGTTTGAGTTGAGACTACGGCAAGAGATCCTGGTACTATGATGGATTAAGCATAAAGGGGGTAAAAATAAGTGGTTTGAATCAATTAACCTCTCTTTGTGAGAAAAATGTGATAGTATGTATGTGTGTATGTATGTACATATAAAATGCTGTGTGTATAACTGGGTCAGAACTAATTTATAGCTGGATCTCCAGTGGGTTTTCAGAGGCTTTATGTCGCATACGAGGAGATTGTCTGTCTCCCTCGGACCAGCTAATGGATTTGAACCACAAGCTTTTGAATTGGCAGTGCAATTCCTTACCCATTAGACTACAAGAACTCCCTCCACAAAAAGCACAGCCTTGGGAACTCTATGGGGTAGTTCTGCTCTGTCCTACAGGTCCACTTTGAGCTAGAAACAACAGCACAGCAGCGGGTTTCGTGTTTATAGAGTAAAGAAAGGGTCCTAGTGCCAAGAAGATGAGTTCTAATCTTGAGTCTGACAGAACAGCTCTCTGAATAAAAGCAGCCTTACATAAAAAAACATAAATCAATGGTTTAAAAACAATGATCTCCTGAGGCAAAGTGCTGAGACCACATGGAATGGTTGAAAAACTCCATAAAAGGACATATTTAGGGTTTCAACAATGCTTTATATCTAGGTAAAGGCTTGGGTTTCCCAGGTGTGTATGTTTGACTAAAAACTCCATAAACAGTTTAACTGTCCCTTAGTTGTTGTGTACCATCGAGACAGAATCGACCCATAGCTGACCCTCCAGTGGATTTTCAGATGCAGTTAACCTCACAGGAGGAGATTGTCCATCCTTCTCCCACAGAATAGCTGGTGGCCTCAAACTGTGTGCCTTGGAGATTGCAGTGTAGCTTCATGCCACTAGGCCACCAAAGCTCCCTAGTGGCATAAAATAAAGGACAGCAAGAAAGAAGAGATTTTCCAGGGCCTTAGAGGAAGAATGGCAGTCTTCTCACAAACAGGAAACATTAAAGCAATTGATGAGCACCGTAGAGTCAACACCCCAGTGCAAAAGCATTAAGAGTTCCAGCATCAGGCGGCTAACCCGCCCGAGCTCCACAGGAGAATGATGTGGCAGCTTCTTTCTTTAAATATTAGGGGACAGCTCTACTCTGCCCTTTAAGCCAAGTCAGAAGCCACTTGATGGGAAAAAGTAGAAGTCCCTTACTAGCTCAAAGATCGGTTGTCTGAACCCACCTAAAGGAACCCTGCAAGACAAGCTTGGTGATCTGCTTCCAAAAGGCTAGAGGCTTTGTCTCATAAGCCTGTGAAGCAGTTCTGCCCTGTACCCACGGGACCTCCGTGAGTCAGAGCGACTGGAGGCAACATCAACAATGACAAGCACAAACAGCGCGCCAAGCAAGAAGAGAAAAAAACTACCATTACCCAGTCAGTAGTCATGTGAACTGGGCACGTTCTTTGACTCTGGGAGCCAAATGTCTCTCTGACAAATGAAGACTCAAAGCAGATGGCCCTCTTAACCAATCTAACCACCTAAGGAGTGTGTCCTTTGAGATTCCACAGCCCTTGACTCACACCCCTCCCTCCACTATTGGGCTGAAAGTCTACTCACCTTTAGCACTTCTATTCAGATACCACCTCCTTTGGAAAGTCTCCCAACCAAGTCTATAAGTACCTTTACACTCTACCCATAAACTACCTTAAAGATCACACCATCCTGGATGGCAGAGAGCTGTTTTTCTGCCTTGTCTCTGGTTGGACTTTAAGCTTCTCAGGGGTGTTGTTCTTGCCTCACTAGACTTGGAGCATGGTGTCCCAGCACCTGACATATGCAAGTGTATGTGAATAAATGCATCGATTGATTGCCTTAACTCTAAAATTCTAGACTTGACTTCTTTTAAGCGCAAGTGAAATAACAAATGTGAGCGCTTTTTTTTTTTTTTTGGTTGTTGTTGTTTTAAGTTGGTGCTAAAGACAGTGGGATGAGAAAATAAGGTCCCTGCCACAAGGCACCCTACAGATATGAAAGCTTCAGAAGGCTTCCCACTTGCCTTCTCCACCAGTTCCCCACGTCTGCTTCCTTTCATGCAGCTTCAGCTCTCTTTCTCTCCTCGCCTTCATTCCTTCCTCAAGCTGTGACCTCTGTCCCAGCTGGCAATCCTGCAAAATCTGCAACCAACCACCCGCACTCTGAAACCCATGTCAAAGGCTGCAGGGTTTGCATGCATTACTGGAAATCCACTACTACCCCACACCCCAGACACCTCTCCCCTGCTTCCTCGTGAATGTAATTGCCCATCTGGAACGACTCACTCCCCCAAGTCTGATGATCTTTATAGTACAAGCCCCCTCGCGATGGCTCTGCACAAAGGAAACTGGGGCCGTTACTCGCGGCCCCTTTAACTGCTGGTGAAACATAGGGTTTACCTTCGAGGAGCGTTGATCCTTCCAGGACTTCAGCTGGTCGCTGGCTGGGTCCCGATTGTCCGCCATGCTGTCCGAGTGGCGTTGCAGAAGGCCGCTGCTTTGGGACAGACGCCTAGACTTCCAGGAGCTGCCTTACTGACAACAGCCTCGCGCTGAAGTAGAAGACTTCACGCTCTGCCAATCAGCACCGCTCCCCATCCGCCTCGGGAAAGCTGCCTCCTGATTGGACAATGGAGTGGCAGGCGCCGTGGGATTGGATGTCCCATTGGGGCTGGGCTGAAGAGGGAGGGGATTGGCAGAATTTAGAGGGCAAAGACCTGGGGACTTGAAGTCAGAAAGGAAGGGGAGCCCCGCCATACGGTTGCATGCACAAACAGTGAGGCCCCAGAATTCTGCAATTACCGAAACTGGGCCCCGCCCTGCATCCTGGCACTTGACATTCGCCACGGTTATCAGCATCCTCCAGAGTGTCCTGGGACGCTGAGGTTGGTGGCCTGCCAATTTTGCTGAGGGAATGCCTAGGCTATGTAGGGCGAGGCTTTGGACGCAGTAATTAAGACTTTAGTTTTTAAAAGTAAAAAAAAAAAAAAAGTCAAAAGCCTGGACTGAATTAATCTGTGTGAAATTAAATTTGTCATATTCTGGTATATAAAAAGTATTGTTTGCAACGCAAGGGTTGATGGAGGTTGGAATGAATGCAGAGACTGGCTCCGTAATTAAATATTAGCAGGCATCTTTCGAAGGTGACATTATTTTCTTAATCACAGTCTGTATGTATAGTAGGAAGTTTAGATGGCCTAGTGGGTAAGGAATTATGCTACCAAACCTAAATCATGGAGTCAAATCCATCAGTTGCTCCACAAAAGAAAATGGGCGATCCCCTCCCCTGCAATTTACTGCCTTTGAAAACCTGTGGAGGGTCATCTGTGAGTCAGTTCTACCTCGAGAGTGCATCATGGCAACATATGTATGGGAGAGAGCTGTGGTGGCCTAATTCACAGTGAGCTGTACAGCTAACTCAAAGGCCACACCTCTCTCCACCCTTTTCGCGCATCTGCTCCACCAGCTGCTCCTGGGGATAAAGAAGGGCAAACAAGCTCTTCTCGTGACAATTTACAGCCTCAGAAATCCAATGGAGGATCACCTATGAGTTGGTTATGACTCAAAGGCAATGAGGAGGGGTTTTAGATATACGTAGTTGTTATAGTGGAGCCAAGCAACTGTAACTGTTCACCACCTTAGTCTCTTCTCCATCCATCATGGTGCTGCCAATTGGGCCAGTGGTGAGAATCTTTGTCATTTTAATGTTGAGCTTCATTGCATATTGAAGACTACAGTCCTTGACCTTCTGCAGCAAGCATTTCAAGTCTACCTCAGTTTCAGCAAGCAAGGTTAGATCATCTGCACAATGAAGGTTGTTGAGTCTTCCTCCACTCCTGATGCCACATTCCTCCTCATAAAGCCCAGCCTTCCAAATGATCTGTTCTGCATATAGATTGAAAAGGTATGGAGACAGGACGAATCCTTGATGCACTCCCTTCCTGATTCTGAACCATGCAGTGTTTCCCTGCTCTGCTTTGAGGACTCCTTCGTGTTCAAAGTATGTTGTTGTTGTTGTTGTTGTTTTGTTGTGTGCCGTCGAGTCGTTTGCGACTCATAGCGACCCTATGTACAACAGCCCTAAACCCTACTCTATCCTGTGCCAATCGCACTGCCTCCGACACACCCATCCCGATTACCCCAGTCACCGAATCAATCCATCTCATAGAGGGTCTTCCCCTCCTGCACCGTCTTTCCACCCTCCCAAGCATGATGTCCCTCTCCAAGGACCTGTCCCTCCTTGCAACATGCCCAAAGTATGTCAGACGAAGCCCCAGAATCCTTGCCTCCAAGGAGTTGCTTGGTTTAATCCTCTCCAGGGTGAATCTGTTTGTTTTCTTGGCAGTCCATGGTATATTCAATACTCTTCACCAGCACCACAGCTCAAAGGCATCAATTCTCCTTCTATCCTCCCTAGTCATTGTCCAACTCTCTGATGCATTACAAGTGATTGCAAAGACCATGGCCTGTATCAGGCACACCTTAGTCTCCAGAGAGACACCATTGCTCTTGAGCACTTTAGAGAGGTCCCTAACAGCAGACTTTCCCATCACAATATGCTTTTTTATTTCCTGACTGCTGGTGCCAAGAGTGTTGACCATGGAGCCGATCAAACTGAAGCTGTGAACAATCTCAATCTCTTCACCATCCATCCTGATGCTGCCAGTTGGTCCAGTGGTGAGAATCTTTGTCTTCTTAACATTGAGCCTCAATCCATACTGAAGGCTGCAGTCCTTGACCCTCCGCAGCAAGTGCATGAGGTCCTCCTCAGTTTCAGCAAGCAGGGTTGTGTCATCTGCATAACGCAGATTGTTAATAGATCTTCCACCAATCCTAATGCCACACTTCTCCTCATAGAGCCCAGCCTCTGGATAATCTGCTCTGCATACAGGTTGAATAGGTATGGAGACAGGACACATCCCTAGCATACACCCTTCCCAATTTTGAACCATGCAGTGTTACCCTGCTCTGTTCTGACTATGGCCTCTTGGTCCAAGTATAGGTTTCGCATTAGCACAATTAAATGTTCTGGGATTCCCATTCTTCTCAGAGTCAGCCACAGTTTGTTATGATCCACACAGTCGAACGCCTTTGCATAATCAATGAAACACAGACAGACATTCTTCTGCTATTCCCTGCTTTCAGCTAAGATCCATCTAACATCAGCTACAATATCCCTAGTACCATGACCCCTTCTAAACCCAGCCTGGACTTCTGGCAATTCTCTGCTGATGTGCTGTTCCAGTCGTTTTTGGATAATCTTCAGTAGAATCTTGCTTGCATGTGAAATCAATGAGATTGTTCTATAGTTTCCACACTCAGTTGGGTCACCCTTCTTTGGAATGGGAACAAATATCGATCTCTTCCAGTCAGTTGGCCAAGTGGTTGTTCTCCAAATTTCTTGGCACAACTTGGTGAGCACATCCAGGGCAGCATCTGTTAGCTGAAATACTTCAATTGGTATACTATCTATTTCTGGGGCCTTATTTTTTGCTATTTCCTTCAAAGTAGCTTGAACTTCTTCCTTCATCACCATAGGCTCTTGCTCATATGTTATTTCATTAAATTCTTCCATATCTGCAAATTCCTTTTGATACAATGACTCAGTATATTCCTTCCATCTTCTTTAATACTACCTGGATCATTTAATATTCTGCCTAAAGCATCCTTGATTATAGCAACTCTAGGTTTGAATTTGTTCTTCAGTTCCTTGATAGGTTTCGCATAAGAACAATCAAGTGTTCTGGGATTCCCATTCTCCTCGAGGTTAACCACCATTTGTTGTGGTTCACACAGTCAAATGCCTGTACATAGTCAATGAAACACAGATAGATAGCCCTCTGGTACTCTCTGCTTTCTGCCCAGACCCATCTGACATTAGCAATAATGACTCTAGTCCCATACCTCTTCCAAATGCAGCTTGTATTTCACCTCCACAATCAACACGCTTGGCACCAGCAGCCAGGAAATCAAAAGCTGAATTGCATTAGGTAAATCTGCTCTCGGGAATCTTTAATGAGTACTGAGAAACAATGATGTCAGTGTAGAGACTAAGGTGTGCCTGATCTAGACCATTGTTTTCTCAATTACTTAAGAGCTGGACAATGACTAAGGATGACAGAAAAAGAACTTTGAGCTGTGGTGCTGGGAAGAGTCTTGAACATACCATGCACCAGCAAAAAAATAGCTCTGTCTTGAAGAGGGTGAAGCCAAGTTTCTCCTTGGAGGCTAAGATTCTGAAGCTCCATTTCACATATGTTGGGCATGTGGCCAGGAGGGACCGGTCCTTGTAGAAGGATATCATTCTCCAAAGGGTGGAGGGACAGCACAGGAGAGGAGGACCCCAGATGACATGGGTTGATCCAGTAATTAGGGCAATGGGGGTAGATGTGTTGGAGTTGATGAGACTAGCTCAGGACAGGGGAGGCTTCAGAGCTGTTGTACATAGGGTCACTATGAGTCACAGGTGACTTGAGGCACATAACAATAACAACAACATAGTTATTGCCATCAAGGCAATTCCTACCCATGGCAACCCCATGTGTTACAATGTGGTACTGAACTGTAGGCTTTTTAAGGCCGTGACTTTGAGAAAACTTGCCTTCCTAGGCTCCAAAAGCAGATTAAAACCACTAACTTTTAGGCTCAGTAGCATAGTCCACAGCATGCTGTGTTGCATACTCTGTAATTTAAACCCACCAGCAGCTGAGCAAGAGAAATGTGGGCTGTTTCTTCCACATAAGGTTTTCAGCATTGGAGCAGATGAAGGGGTACAGTGAGTTGCATTGACTGGATTAGCTAGCAGGGATCTCTGTTGGCCTTGTCCTTAGGGAGTTGTGCTATTACCTCAAAGATCTTGCCTGTTTGGCAGCTCAAATCCACTAGATTCACCTAGATCCACTAGATCCAGCTCAAATTCACCAGTGGTTCCAGGAAAGAGAGATGGGCATTGTCCTCTCATGTGATTTACAACCTCAGGAACCTTCTGGAGGATCAGCTGTGAGTCTGTTATGACTCCTTAGCAGTGAAAAGCACTTTTGCACCACCGAGGGTTTCAATGTGTATAGAAAAACATGCCTAAAAAAAATACATCCAATTGAAGAACTCAGAAGCTCCTGATGCCCTTAATAATTTCGAATTCATAGTAAATAGAGTCACCTTTTAGACTTTGCAATTTCTCTTTTTTTTTTCCCTCTCTCTAGTGTCTGCTGTGAGCTGAATACTGCTAGGTGATTGGCAGGCTGTATCATTTATTCTTTACCACTTTATACTGAAAGTTTTCTTCTTCTTTATTTTAAAGATGAAGAGTCCCAACCTTAAAATGCGGAGGAGCTTTGTTGTTTTTGTTGTTGTTGATTGCCTTCGAGTCAAGCATGCGTCATAGTGATCCTATGAACAAAAGGCCTAAAGGCCCTCCACAACTATCAACATATATCAAAGTTCATAGCATTTCCGGAGGCAAGTTA